ATGTGGGGTATTTGTGTTTATGTGTACACACACACACACACACACATATACAGTGGGATATTACTCAGCCACCAAAAAGAAGGAAATCTTGCCATTTGTAATGATGTGGATGGAACTAGAGGGTATTATGCTAAGTGAAATAAGTCAGAGAAAGACAAATGCCATATGATTTCACTCATATGTGGAATTTAAGGAACAAAACAGATGAACATAGGGGAAGGGAAGGAAAAATAAAATAAGATGAAAATTGAGAGAGAGACAAACCATAAGAGACTCTTAACTATAGGGAACAAACTAAGGATTGCTGAAGGGAAGGTGGATGGGGGGATGGGGTAATTGGATGATGGGCATTAAGGAGGGCACTTGATATAATGAGCACTGGGTGTTATATGCAACTGATGAGTCACTAAATTCTACCCCTGAAACTAATAATACACTGTATGTTAAATGAATTTTAAAAAAAGGAACTTAAAAGACTGAAAAGTATTAGGTAACATAAGGCAATGGTCTGAAATAAATTCTGAAACTATTTTGACCTTGGGCTGTATTAATAAAATAACTAGAACAAGAAAAGGCCAGAATTGACTTCATTCTGTGTTGATCATTATGGAATTTAGATCTAGGGACATAGACAAATTGGAACATATTCAGAAAAGAGCAACTAGCATGATGAAAGGTTTTTGTGTGTGTGTGTGTGTGTGTGTGTGGAGAATAGCAGAAGAAACAAGAGTTGTATGGTTTAGAGAAAAGAAAACTTGAGGAGCATAATAGCTATAATAGTTATGAGGTTTGCCATTGTAAGAAAAAAAAGCACTTCTAACTGGCTTTAATAATGAACATAATTTATGGGCTCATATAACTCAAAAGTTCTGAGACAAGTTGGATTTTAAGTGAGGCTCAATCTAGTGGCCTAGTTAATCTTTCTATTTTGCTTTCTACAGTTTTGACCGAAACTGGCTGCCACGCTCTCTCTTCTTGGGTCAGGATATCTGCTGGCAACAATTAGGGCTATGTGCTTCCTTCATGTCAAGCGAGAGTCTGAAAAACCTTTTTCCTCCTATATAGCTCATTGAAAGAAAGAGTAATTTTCTTTTTCCAAATCCCTAGGAAATATCTCTTGTATCTCATTGGCTAGAATTGTGGCACATGCCAATCTCTGAACAAATTACAGGGGCCATAGGGATGGTGTGTGCAAATTAGCATGGCTAATCACAAATCTGTGTCTTGAGCTGAGATATTATGTCCATCAGGATTCTCAGGAGGAACAGAACCAGCAGAAGATATACATACACACACACACACACACACACACTCGTATATTACATATTCATAAATATTATATATAAAATATATATTTAAATATATAAATGGTGTGTGTGTATATGTATATCTCCTACTGGTTCTGTTTCACCTGAGAATCCTGATGGATATAATATATAATATATAAAGGGATTTATTTTAAGGAAATTGCTCACACAATTGTAGGACTGGCAAGTCTGAAATAGATAGGAGAGGCCATCAGGCTAGAAATTCTCTGACAGGAGCTGATATTGAAGTCTTGAGGCTGAATTTCTTCTTCCTCTGGGAAACCTTAGTTTTTGCTCTTGGAAAGCCTTTCACCTCATTGGATGAGGTACACTTACATTACTAAAGGTAATGTCCTTACTTAAAGTGAACCAATTATTAACTACATTTACAAAGCAACACCTCGATTAGTGTTTGATTAAATAACTAGGTAATGTAGCCTTGCCAAGTTGACATATAAACCACCATAGATATAATCAGTCTTGCCCAAAATACATGGCTGAAATTTTGAGGTCCTGCTGGAAGAGAGATTGGCCAACTAAGAGGCTGCCAACAAATATCCCTTACAATGACTAATAGTAGATATGTGAAAGGCTTCCATGGTTGTAGGTTTTCAGTTGTTTTACATAGACTAATATCAAGGGGAAAAAATATAGAAATGGTGAGGAAACAGTTATCAACTAAAAAATAATTAGCAAAAAACAGTAGTGAGTTCTGATTATTGGAAACGTTCAAACATGAGCTAGATGGTTGTCAGGTAAGGCCTTAAAATTAAAGCCCAATATTATGTGTTCTTGACATCTGGGGAAAATTGGAAGACCTTCCAGTGGCCCAACCACAAGTTCTCCTCCCCACTGTGCTCTCACAGATAAGGTTCCTGAGCCAAAGGACCCTTATTATCAAAGGGATAAGTAAAAACATCTGCTTATCTCTGAGTAGCGGGTTTCAGTTCTCTGCCCATGGAATTCCTCAGACAAGCCAATCACATTCTCTCATGGGAACCAAGAGTCACCGGCTCTTTTGATACTTAAAACCTGCTTATTATAGCTTCTGCTTGCCCACTCTGTTCCTGAGTGCAACCCACATGTAGCCATGCATGGTACGTGCTGCCCTCCTCCCCTGGGCTATAAGGATGTGTGATTAATAAACTGTCAATCTCATCTGTCCAGTGGCCAGGTGCTGTTCTTTCAACCATTTCCATAATTCTAGAATGGGAATCCCTCCCTCACCGATGGGGAGAATGGGAGGTGGTTAAAACAGTGACTCTCCCCCTTCCCCACCCCACCCAGCAGTGATGGTGGAGACGGAAAAGATTCAAACATCAGTTAAATAATTGGAATTAGTGATTTGTGAGTTGCTTTCCAATCCTGGTATTCTATTATTTGTGTTCCCAGTGTTAGTATTAGCATTCATTGTGTATTTCCAAATACAGATATAACAATTTATCTTTCTACTATTAGCATCCATCAGGTTGTTTCACAAATTATTCATTTACATATTTCTTTTTCTCAGTTCAAAGCTTTGAAAAACCATGCTTTATTCATCTTTATATACCTTCAATTAACATAATGTCTGATATATAGCAGATAGCCAATGAATTTTTGGTGAGTGAATCTGAAAATCAAGTTTCTCCATCAGAAATTGGGGAAAAATTACCAATGAGCAATGAAGTTCTCCCTAAACATAACATCATAGGCGTGCCTGGGTGGCTCAGTCGTTAAGCATCTGCCTTCGGCTCAGGTCATGGTCCCAGGGTCCTGGGATCGAGTCCCGCATCGGGCTCCCTGCTCAGCAGGAAGCCTGCTTCTCCCTCTCCCACTCCCCCCTGCTTGTGATCCCTCTCTCACTGTGTCTCTCTCTGTCAAATAAATAAAATCTTAAAAAAAAAAAAAAAACATAACATCATAACCATGAATTCCCCAACACTGTTGAGAAATCCAAACTTACCCTATCCACCTGTAGATGGAGGGAATAAGGTCTTGGGAGAGTTGCCAATTTTTTCTCCTCATTCCCCATCCAAAATGCATACCATTTGCCCTAAGGCTTCTGAAGAACCCTGCAGGCAGCATCTCACTTTGTGTAGGAAGGAGAATTAGTATAGCTGCAAGGTGATCCCAACTTCTTGCCTGTCTATTGATTTTGAATGCTCCATTCACTTCAAAATCCCTGGTGAAAGCTAAAACATTATTTCTTCAAGAAGGTATTTATTTTAAGCATAGTTTCATGCTTCATGCTTCAGCTGTGCAGCTGCACAGCACCCCTATCCTAAATTATGGGAAAAATATAGAACAATCTAAAGTGTTTGTCTTGAAGATGTTTGACATATCTTTTTTCTGTGATCTCCGCTTTATTATTTATTGTACTTAAATTGGCTTACTCATTAAATTTATTTTTTATTAACATACAGTACTATATAAGTTTAAGGTGTACAGTGTAATGATTTGACTTACAAATATTGTGAAGTGATTACCGCAGTAAGTTAGTTAACATCCATCATCTCATATAAATATAAAAAAAGAAAAAAATATGTCTTTCCTTGTGATGAGAACTCTTAGGATTTACTCTCTTAACAGCTACCTATATATCATACAGCGGTGTTAACTGTAGTTGTCATGTTGTATATTACATCCCTAGTACTTACTTAACTTATTTATCTGGACATTTGTACCTTTTGACCACCAGTTCTCTTTTCCCCATCTCCTACCTCTGGTAACCACAAATCTGATCTCTCTCTCACTCTTTTTTTTTTTTTTTAAATGAATTTGGTTTTCTCTCTCTCTTTTTAAGATTTCACATATGACATCATACAATAATTGTCTTTCTCTCTCTGACTTATTTCACTTAGGATAATGCTCTCAAGGTCCATCCAGACTATCACAAATGACAAGATTTCCTTCTTTTTTTAAGGCTGGATAATACTCCATTTGTGTGTGTGTGTGTGGGTGGGTGGGTGTGTGTGTGTACATGTGTACGTGTACACAACTTCCTTATTCATCTGTTGATGGACACTTAAGTTGTTTCCATGTTCTGGCTATTATAAATAATGCTGTTATGAAAATGGGGGTGCAGATACCTCTTCAACAGAATGTTTTCATTTCCTCTAGACATATTTCCAGAAGTGGAATTGCTGGATCATATGTTAGTTCTATTTTTAATTTTTTGAGGAAGCTCTATACTGTTTTCCATAGTAGTTGAACAAATTTACATCCCCACCAACAGTGCACAATTCCCCTTTCTCCACATCCTCACTAGCATTTGTTATCTCTAAATTTATTCTTTTGATAAATGATATATGCTTCTTTTCCTGACCCATAGATTTAAGATTTTTTTTTTTTTGGAAAATAGTTTATTTTGTGCAAATGAGTAAGAGATTTTTTTAAAAGAACTATGAATGACCTGATCTGACAAAGGAATTTTGCAAATTCGTGAACTTACTGTATACCTTCACAGAATATACAATAAAACTGTTTATTAGCAAAAATAAAATTATATTAATTCACCTCTGGTGTTGAAACCAAGGATGTAAAGTTTCCATTTCCATATGTCTTTATATAGTACCAAGCATGTGATTGGTCCTTACTAAATACATATTGGTTAAATAAGCTAATAATAGGCTGTGCTTCCTTCCATTGATCATAGACCTTAAGAATTTAATATAACAAAGTCTTTTCTCCATCTCCTGGGTTTATTCACAGTAAACAGATCCGAGCTATGCTAGGCCAGTTCAGCCAGGCAGAAGCCTTATTAATGAAAGCTGGAGTGCAGCCAGGGACTTTGGATGGAGTTCTTTTGGATCTTGGGTGTTCCTCCATGCAACTTGATGCTCCTGAAAGAGGTTTTTCCCTCCGGAAGGACGGCCCCTTGGACATGAGAATGGATGGTGGCAGGTGAATATTGATAAAGCATTTCTCCTCACAACAAGAAATCAATTTTGCAGAAACACTCTGGATTTAATTTCCTTTTAAGACTGCAGAATTCCCATCACACGCCCACACCTAACACTATCCATACATAATAAATCAGTTTTGTTTGCTAGTCATTATAGATTTTAGTGTTTCTCTAGATTTGAGATTCTAAAAGAAAAATCATTGCTATCTTTACACAAAATAGTGAAGAGGATAACTTTCATATTATCTTTTTTATAGATACAATATGAGCCTTTAGACTACAAACAGTATTGATAAATGTGATACTGAAACAATGGATCCATTTCTATCCAGGCCCAACTATGCCTATTGTGAGATGTAAAAGGAATTATATTTAATGCATATTCTTTTGAATACTAAATAAAATGCAAGATTCTGGAGGTCAGCAATTGTATGTTTTGTCCTGTCTCTTGTACAGTCACTTTGGTTTAACCTTCTCCAGAGAAATTACAGTTTATGGTACTGTATCAACATAGTACTATGTATAGGACAGCTTTACACCTCCTCTTCATTCCTCACCACCCTGGAAAGTTTGTTCTCCATTATTCAAGGAAGTGCATATAACACAAAGAGGATCACATTCTAGTAAAGTGTGGGATAAGTTCTTTTAAACCTAAATTAATTTTTAAAGCTTAGATTAGCACTTGTCTCTCTGCCTAACACTGGCTCAGGGTCGGAATAGCCTGTACGTACAAAGCTTAACCGTGTTTTTCTTCCTCATTTCATGCCCCACCACCACTGCCAGATTATGTATCACAGCCCCCACCTTTGGGAAGCTTACCTTCTAAGAGGAATATTAGATTTTCTTATTTCTAAATAAGCAAACCATTCTGTTACTGTTACTAATCTGCAGTTTTAACCTGCACAAACATTTCTACTGAGACAAATAGATTTTCCAAAATGTCTTCCAATCTATTAGAAGGACCTGTATATAAGAAATTTAATGTCCTGTTTAAGTCAGCAAATTAATATTGAGTTGACTTTGACTTCTTTCCCATAAAATGCTTTGTTCAATGGTAATTATTCACATATAGCCTTTTCCCCATGTTTTGATATGACCTGGTAACTTGGATTGTGACCCATACTTGTTGGAACCTTTTTGTTCTGAATCTTACACCTTCTTTTGCACAAGTTGGCATTCATAGGATGAAGAATGTGCTTATAAAAGAAAATAATGAAAATCCTTTAAAAAGCAGTGACTAATAGTAAAGGTCAAATATCTTTTCATGTTTGAGATTGAGGTTGTTGTGTAGAGGTAATAAAATGTCAAGCAAATTTCTGCTGTTCCTATGTCTTGTTAAAGGAGGATGCCTTCTGAAATACAATGAACAAAGTTTCTAGTTAATGGTAGTAAATCCCCATATTGTTAATATAAAGACTTTTCAGCAAATTGTAGTCTGTGAATCAGGGTTCTTGAAGTTTTCCCCTAAGAACCTGAAAATAAAATTGCCCTTGAGCATTAAACTCTAAGTCAATACATAATGGATGAGATTAGAGTTGAGCAAATATATCTTAAAAATCAGGGTGGCTTCCAGGTAGATAGCATAGACTGTATAACCTAATCATTGCAAGTATATCCAATACTTGATCCAAGTGGTGTTATGGGGCGAGGGAGTCCAAGCCAAAAAATATGGCCAGTCAGATCCTGGAAGCTAATATATCTCTGTGATGAAGGTAGATGCAAGAGGCTTTCCTAACCTGTTGCCATTTAACACTGGACTCGTATAGCATAGTTTAGTCTGTGCTATCCTGATTTCAACAACAGATCTCAGATTACAGAAGGTTCTCATGTAGCAAAAAGAAACACAGCTTCAAGGACTCGCAGGTCTAATTCTGTTGTCAGTTGTATTCTTCACTGGAAATTAATAAATTGTCACTTGTGTTAATATTTTCTTTCTGTCTTTAGTGCAGTTATTTTAAATCAGTGATTTCTGGAGAACCGACAAGATCTCTCACCTGTTAATTTGGGGGCGGGGGGCAGATTTTGTATCTTGACTTCACTGTGAATGCCTATTCTGAAGTCTCCTAGCAGCCTATCGGCTTTTCAGTGTTGCCCCTTTTGTAAATGGAAACTTCTACATTGCTATTCAGTGTTAACATGAGGGTAAAATAAAATTATGCCCATTATCCATTGAACTATATTTGAGCAAAATGCTGTTTAATGGTCTTACTTAAAAGTAGAAAGGTATTGGGCGCCTGGGTGGCTCAGTCGGTTGAGCGACTGCCTTCGGCTCGGGTCATGATCCTGGAGTCCCGGGATCGAGTCCCGCATCGGGCTCCCTGCTCGGCGGGGAGTCCGCTTCTCCCTCTGACCCTTTCATGCTCTATCTCATTCTCTGTCTCAAATAAATAAATAAAATCTTTAAAAAAAAAAATTGAAAGGTATTATAAGAAACTGCTAAGTACATCCGTACTAATCTTAGAGTTGTCCTGGTAGAGCTGGACTATATCCTGTGGGTCTGAATTTACTATCATTAATAAGGTTCATTTCAATGCTCAGTGGTTTGGACAGTTGAACACACAGCACGTAAGATCTAGCTAGGATGTTGTCCATTAGGCTAAGGATGATGGGCAAATCTAGGAATGGGCAAGATCTGGGACACAGACATTCATTGAGCTTCTGTATGCCAGACATTCTACTATCTATTTTACAATTGCATGTACTCTTAATTCTTCCAACAATTCTATGAGGAAAGCATTGTTATTTCATTTTACAGGTTAGCAATTGGGGCTTCAGTAGGTTAAAAAACTTACACAATATGAATAGCAAGTCTGGGATTCTAACCTCTGTTGATCTGACTCTAAAGACCAAATCTTTATCCTTAAAGCTATTATTGAAAGAACAAAGGCTATTGAGATGGAAACAGGGCTACCTTATAGGATGTTCATTAGTCTGGGGGTACCATGGTAGCCAAAAAAAAAATGAGTCAGATCTGGAAAGCAAGGTTTCATTCTCTCTCTCTGTGTCTCTCTTTCATACACACACACATACACACACACACACACATACACACACACACAGTAAGACAGAGAGAGGGAGGGAGAGGTCATGGCAAAATAGGGCAAAAGCCAAACACAACAACAGAATTTTCTCCTGGAGGCACTAGGCATGTTAACAAGGTGCAGTATAGTATTTTTAAGAAGGGATTCAGGTGTTTCTTCACAGCCCCACTGTGGTATAGTCTTTAGGTCTTAAAGCTACCATATCCTTATTACTTAAAGTCCTCACAGTGTGATACTGACAATCAGTCCAACACATTAACTACAGGAGTAGTAACTGTACTGTTAACAAAGCTATCTTACTAATAAGTAAGGCCTCAGTTGGTTCATCACTTAGAATTCCTTCACACATTTCCCTAAAGGAAGGTAAACTGGAATGAGTGGTCTGACAGAGTGAATGCTATTTGCTACTACTGTGATCTATTCTATTTGGCTAGAGGTTGTTTTTTCTTTGTCTCCTGCACCTGAAATTACCATCTCAGGCTTGTTTAGTACTGTTTCTTGATTCCTAAGTTTTACCCCATGGTGACTTTAGTCATGGGTTTATAAACCAGTATCATTAAACATTGGAAATAACCTACATTATTACCATTAAGGTTGTTCAATTTTTTGTGAGGGAAACAGACTGGGAGTATCTTCTTGTATAGACCTTCTAAGTTCAATTTGTGCTCCCATATAAGTACTCAGTTACTTTATAATCTCAGAATTAAGTTCCTGAGATATAGGCGCCTTTAAATATCTGTCCATATCTTGTATCTTCTTATAGTGAAAAACAAAATCAAGCAGTAATTTAAATTTTGAACAAGCTAAATCCAAACATTTTCCATTATTTTAGTTTAGGGGAAATCTGCATTAGTAATAATAACTTCTTTGTGAATTAAAGGTTAGTAAAATATTTTAATTTCCTACTGCCCTTGACCTTGATGAATGTCACACACAATCCACTATTGCTCTTATGATGGGTATTTGAAATGGAAAATCTATTTCGTTTGTTTAAGATTTCAGTCTCTGACTTTAAAAAACCTCAGACGTTCTCTTAGACTCTGTGTGTATGCCTGACTTCAGTACTCTGAAATTTCACCTCTTGTCAATGAAAACTGACGTCAGCAAACTAATTGGCTCTTCTTGTGCGTAGGTACCCTGACATGCCCACCGCAGCTGATGTTGTGAACGCTTTAGATCAACAGGCACTTGCATCCATCCTGAGAACATACGGGGAGGAGAAGCATGCCAAGAAAATCGCTTCAGCAATCGTTCAGGCACGCAGCCTTTACCCCATCTCCAGAACCCAGCAGCTTGCCAGCATCGTTGCAGGTACCCTCATTAATTCTGAACAGTGTCTGAGAGGAAAAAAAAAAAAAAAAAAAAAAAAATATATATATATATATATATAAATCCCCCAAACCCCCAGAGGGATTCATTTGTACTTAAAATTATGCAGGATAGAATCTTGCGTATCCTTCTCTCCATAACAGCTTCTTTTGGTTTTGCAAGCTTCTCCCCTCCAACACCTCTCCCCCACACAATTTAAGAAAATACACTGTAGTTGCTGATTAGTTGAACAATAGATTTTTTTTTTTTAGAGGCAATTTATCATTTGTGCCTACCAAGGTGAAATGAGGAATGACAAGAGCGGAAGAATTTCTTGATCCATCACAGTGGTTGATAAGCATTCTGTATAAGATCTGACATTACCTCTCTTAGTTTCACATTTCTGCATTTTAATATTTTGGGCAAAAGGAGAATTGCATTGCCCAACTGCTAAAATAAAATCCAGTGACTCATACATCTATTCTAAACAACCAGCTAACAAAGGGTATGTGATGTATAGGTTATTCCACTTTGTGAATGCTAACTAAATCGGCCTGAGGGACTTATTGAAATATTTCATCTTTTGTGCTGTTTGCCACCATAAACCTCTTGAACTTAAGTCTAGCTAGGAGGCGCTTTATTATAGCCTTTCTGTTTGAAGCCAAAGTTGTTTCACAGCTGTGTTCCGTGATGAAAGTTTTCCAAGGCAAAAATACAACTCCTGCAGTTATTTAACAGAATTCCAGTGTTAAATTCTTCATCTTGTTGGGCCATCTGAAACCCTACATCATTTTTATTTACCAAATGTATTAGGATTTCTTTTCAATGGCTCCTGTTAAGTTACTTAAGTAGCTAAAGAAGTAGTGAAAATGAATAATTGTGTAGCTTATAAAAAGAACCTAATATTAGTTGCCTCTATCTTAATATTATGTATAGTTTAAGGAATAAAACTTGATTATAAATTCATTCAGATGAAGATTTAGAGATCATATAGCAATTGTTTTATGACATAATTTAATAAAACTCTATTTTACTTAGGATAATAAAATACAGAGTTGGCCAAGTCTTTAAATTTTTTAAGCTTTATACACACCTCAAGGCCTCTCCAACTTACTACTGAGATTCCTGTAGTCAAGTAAGAGCAAAATTCTTATAGGTTATATGATCATAAAATATTCCATGGTATTTTTTCCCAAAAAGAGTTTGTATTAGCACACTGCATTAATTTGCCCTCTGTCTTGTATCCCTTTCTTTCCACTCTGTACTCACTAACCATTACTACCTTACCTTACCCTTTCTGTCATTCTTTAGCTGTATATGTTGTTCTCTGTCTCCCATATTTTTATACATGAGAAAATCCAGAATTTTCTAGTGCTGAAAATGAGGATCAGGGCTAAGGGCATCCTAGAGATCATCCAGTCAAAAAACCTCATCTGATAACTGAAGAAACTGAGTCTCAGGGAGGGTCAGTGGTTTCCTCCAAGGTAGACAGCCTAGTTAATGGCAAAGTCAGTACTAATCTAGAATTCGGAAGCTCATGAATTTGAGGCATAACTGGGAATTTGCCTTTAAGATATTGAGTTAACTGTTTGTCTCAGGGTCCTAATCTGCAAACTTGGGGTAATAACACTGTGGCATTACACAGAAATTATATCAAGATGTAGAATAGGAACAGTTTAAGTATTTTCAGAAGGATTATGATGTGGAAAACATATTAGGGCTATGAGAAATGATATCATAAAAATGAGAATATTCATATATGTGTAGAACTAAATAAATGCCATTAAAAGATTGAGTTCCCCATAATGAGTCCTTTTTTATGGCTCAAATCAACCCATAATAATACAAATTTACTGATGATATAATTCTGTGGAAAAGGGAAAAACAGAAAAAAAATGGGTTTGCATTTTGTGCTCTTTTATTCAAAAACCATTTTGGGAGAAGATGCTAAATACCAGGCATTATACTGAGTACTAACAGTGGAAGCGGGGAGCAGATCAGAGCCTCTATTCACAAAGTTTACTGACTGGTAAGTGGCTGAATAAAAGCATAGTATAGTAAACATGGTTCTTCTACTTATAGTGGAAATCCCCTTATTTATCATAGTCTGAAGTTATGATTGTGTGGGTAATAGAAAAAGTTGGTACATGTGGAGAATTATAGAACCTATACATATTTATATATATGGAGATGCTCGGGTCCTAATTGCAGTTCTGCAAAGTCCATTCTTACATAAACCACAACCATGGTGTATCTTCTACAGCTCTGATTTTATTTTTATTAAAGTAAAGTTAGAGTTTAAAGGTACTTACAGAGCAATCTGAACATATTTTCTAGATTTTTATAATTTTTCTATCTTTCATAATTACCTCATGTGCATCTAATTTGATTGCATTTTTTACATGACTTACCTTTATCGAGAGTCTCCAAAGTGTCTACGTTAGTTTTCATGAGAACAGCAGATGTCTTTCATTTTGCATTCATATTTCACCAGTTTATGTAATATTTGATTAAATTAATTAATGGCAAAAGTAAGTGCTCTGGGCTATAAGGGTATAGCTCTTTCGGTGGGAGCAGGACTGTATAGGAATGCTCAGAGTAAAATACTACCCTGAGACACTTGAACAGAGAAAGGGATTAATTTGTCAAGTCTCCTAAATAGAAGTGTCTTAAGAGAGCTACTCATAGAGGAAATATGGAAAGCAATGGAGGGCCCAGTAAGGTTCCTGTATTAGTTTTCTAGTGCTGCAGTAACAAACAAACCACGCATTTGGTGGCTTAAAATAACAGAAATTTATTCTGTCACAGTTCTGGAGGCTAGAAAGGCCAAAGTCAAGTTACCAGCAGGGCTCTAGGGGAGAATGCCTCCTTGACCATTCCTAGTGTCTGGCAATCCTCGGTGTTCCTTGGCTTGTATATGTATCACTAAGTCTCTGTCTCCACTATCATGTGGGATTCTCCCTGTACATGTTTTTGTGTCCAAATTTTCCTTTTATTATAAGGACATCAGTTGTATTGGATTTAGGGCCCAACCTAATAGAGTATGTTCTCAACTTGAATGATATCTGCAAAGACCCTATTTCCAAATAAAGTTATGTTCACAGGTTCCTGGTAAACACAAACTTTGGGGGACACTATTCAACCCGGTACAGTTCCTAAGCAATATCTTTATTTAACAAACATGTATTTTGGCAGGCTATAACATGCTATGACTATATTCAGACATCTTTTCTGGTTCTAATAAAATCATACTAAGTATGTCCAAAATTATCAAGCACTCTGGGAAATATGCCACATAGTAAAGCCCATATATTGATGGAAATATAAATCACTTCCTTTACTTTCAAAAAGCTAATAATCCATTAGGACAAGGAAGACCATGACACTTGTAATCACAATATACTTAGTGGAATTACATAATAATTCAAGTGATTAAGTTGTAATTTGTAAAACCTAAAGCCTCGTGCCTTTTGTTAGTACAAGTAACTACAGTTCCAGTACTCTTCCAATATCATGTAAGCACCAAAAGACAGGTTTGAGGCTGCAGTTTGGAACAGGACACTTAAAACTACCATGAATTACTTTGTAAATTACCAAATTAGTAATTTATCATTCCAAAAACAACCTGTGGGACTTCACTATTCATACAGACTATTTAGAACTACTAGCCAGAAATTTTAATATTAATATCTAACACATGTTAGTGTTCTCTCCAAAAATAATTCATAAATAACAAAGCACATTTTGTTATCCTAGTTTATGTTCTAATACAGTTATAACTAAAAAGTTAGATTTATGACATCTAAGACCTGAAAATGACCTGAGGGACTAATTTAATGTAGAACCAAACTCTTCCTCACCTCTAATAAATGGTCATCTTGCTTTAGCCATGTCATCTCCATCTGTTTTACTCCCCTTGTATTTCTGTGAAGAGGAGCACATTTCAGTCTGAAATTGCTAGTTTCATAAATAGAGACTTAAAGTCTTTAGAAAGCATGAATTCCTTAGAATAAAATCCAAATTCCTTTCCATGGTTTGCAAAGCTTTTCATGGACCAGCTCTTACCTGTCTTTTCACTTTCATCTTTCTTGCTCTCCACAATAATCTCTGTCCTAACCATACTAAAGTTCTTATAGTCTCGTCTTTCCAGCACACCATAGTCGCTCTCACTTACAGGCCTTGTGTATTATTAACATTAACACTAAAGTGCCCAACCCCTATCCTTTCCTATCGCTAGTGCCGGCTCATCCTTTCGAGCGTAAGTGAGGTGTCACTTCCTCCAGGAGGTTTTTTCTAGCTCTACACAGATTAGTTGAGATGCTGTCCTCCATGCTCCTGTAGCACTGCATTTCCCTGTCACAGCACTTCCACTGTTCTCTTGCTTGCTTCCTATTTAACTTCTCTCCTAGACCTATACTGTCTAATACAGTTGCCGGTAGCCACATGTGTCTATGGAACTCTTGAAATGTGGCTGCTCCTAACTGGAAGATCATATATGTAAAATACGCACCTTAACTTGAAAAAAGAATTTAGTGTATCTCAAAAATGTATATGTTCATCCTGTGTTGAAATGGTCGTATTTTAGAAATTATTGGGTTACATGCAATATTAAAATTAACTATACCTGTTTCTTTTTACTTTTTCAAGGTGGCTATAGAAAATTTTAAGTAATATATGTGTATTGTATTATATTTTTATTGGATGGTCCTGCTCTGGATGATAAGCACTGTGAGGGCTCTGTCATGACTCTCTTACTCATCACTGTACCCCCAGTGCTTAGCATAGTTTTGGCTTTGGAAGGCATTTGGTAAATACTTTTTCAAAATTAATGTATAAAATAAATAGATCAGGAAGGTTCTGCTTTTATAAAGTTGGTATTCAGTGAAATAACATCAGTGGAACTAAAAAATTGGTGTTCAGTCTTGGAGGTCATAAACAGTGATTCCCTCCATACCATTATGCTCTAATAACACTAACACTAAAGTACTCAAGTAAATTAGGAA